ATCCTTTATTATGGTTTTGGTAGCAAGATGTTGATGTTGAATGGAATAAAAATTGATGGATAAAATATAAGATGATCTTCTGTGATGATTCTTTGGGTCTTGAAGAAATCTTGCTAAGGTTACAGCATTTTTCTGTGAGATTTAGTATAATTCTGAGACGTTTCCTTTGATTCCTGCGATGATTGCAGATTCATTACGACCTGTTTAGTTCTAAAATCATAGAACTTTCCTGTTGCATGAAGATTCTTGCAATTCTCTGAGAATCCAGCTAATTCCAGTTTATGAGAAGTCAATGTTCATGGCTGAATCTTATCATGAGCGTTTATGGTGGAATTAAATTGTTCAAATTTCCTTAATCAGTTCATCATCCTGCTACCTCTAATCTCAGGAAGAGGTTATACGTGGCCAGTTTAAAAGAAACTTTTCTACATGTATTCCTGTGGTTATCGCCAGATCTCGAACCTCAAGATGGCCCACAGATTGCACAGGAAGTGTCCACAGGGATTACCTGGATCTCTTCGCCTCTACCACTGTTTCCTTGCAATCCAAAGCCAGTCTACGCTCAGCATCAACTCGTAGCACATCTTTCGTCGACTCTCTTCAACCACCTTCTTACAAAATCCTCTCACCGCGATTCTTTCCAACTTCTTGCAATCTAAAATCACATATTAATCTCAGTAGTACTCCGACAAGAAAATTCGTTTTACCATCGCGTTTTTAGAACTCTATACTACAACTTCCATGTTCCATGACTGGATAGCTCTCCTGCTGGATTCGAGGATCCCAATAGGAATCCTGAGACCGTTCGTTCACCCTGGCCAGGGTTATCTCGTCATCTGGTTCCCGCGAAGATCTATGCTCGACGAATCTTTGATACTTTACACCCTGTTCACAGCAACGCAGTGGGCCCCGTCTGCCTGATATTCCAGACCTGTTGCTCGTAGATATCCCCAGTGACTTTTTTCCAGAGATCCAACAGGTATTTATGGGTGACGCGCGCAGGAATTATCCTCGCACCGCCTTTATTTCAGCTTTTCCACCAGTGCTGCAGCGAAAACTCCGAGCTTATTATCTCCGCTGCTCCACGAGGTCCTTAGAAGCTTCCAGAATCTTCCTTCTCGCAACAATTCGAAATCTATTTGCAAATTAATCGATCCAAGCCCACACTTTCAGCGACGAATCCTTCAGAAGAGTCAAAGAGTTCCATGCAAAGAGTTCTAGATTTTTTAATAACAATTGGAGGTTTAGAGTTGCAGTTTCGTCAAAGTTGGTTCGATTCGTGGCACGATCATCGGCAACATAGAGGGGTACCATGGACGACGGCTGGACGGAGCGACCATTGTTCGATATCGACAATTTTGGCCCCGTTTTCGAAAACACACACGCGACGGAACACTTTCACGCGAGCCTAATAAGACCAACTAATTCACAGCAACGTCTCATGGATGACACTAGACATTATAAATAGAGTTTCATCGTGGATTCCTGGCTGGAATCATCATTGGAAACCATCTAACACCTAGTCCAAGACGTAGTCCAATTCTTCGTTATAAACCTGCTTCTATGATAGATACCAGAAACAACTTTCCAAAATCTGGGTACCGAGGAAACCTATATAATCCTGGTCAGAATCTTCTCGAACCAAGCCACTTTCTTACTTATATTCCACACGAGGTACGAATCCTGGTCCCATTACAGAGTTAAATCCTGGTCCCAAAGGAATCCAATCTTGGGATCCACATATTTCCAGGAAGCAACCTGGATACCATCGCAGGACTTCGAAACTGAGACTGGACGAGGTCGCGATGCAAGTTCGGAAAGCTCCCAGAGCCTATAAATGGTTCTCACAGTAAATCCTCACTAGCGGAACTTCACCATGGCACTTTCACGACTGACGGAATTTTCCATGTTGGAGGACCGATAGATAATTTCCTCTGGAAGGATCTCGGGGGCCATCGAATGATTCGGATTAACGGGTTCCAGGTGGAAGAAGCAAGGGGACGCCACGGCACGTGCGCGAGAGTGGCCGCGGCGGAACTCGAAACGGGGATCGACGATGGATCGATGGCTCGATCGCGATCGACGGACTTCGTCGCGTGAAACGAAACGAAAGGAACGGTAGAACGAACGCGGAAGCACGTTCCTCCTCGGACGGATGGGTCGCCGACTAGTCACCACCCACAACTCGCCAGTGACTGATTCCACCATAGCCGCATAATGTGCCGCTGTGCTATACCCCGGTAAGGACTATCACTTCTCCCACCAGAGAGCCACGGAACACAGCCACTGTGTAAAGCATGACTTTTAACCGGGATGCATCGTCCTCGTTCCACACGCTACATGCTCATGAAGAGGACGACCAGGATGAGGAGGATGGCTCCTGAGGCGGAGGGTTCGTGGACCTGATGCAAGGGAGCTTGTGCAAGATTTCATGGCTTTTTGATACGCTGCTTTCTTTTTTGGAGGGGGAATTTTAGAATGTATAATGGACTTGAAATTTTTATAGCGATTTTTTTGGTTCCTTTAGAAAAGTTTGAAATATTTGGAACTTTCTTGTTTTCTCAAGAACCTGGAGTGCTTGATTTTCCTAATGTATGGTGGACTTGAAATTTTTATAGCGATTTTTTTGGTTTCTTTAGAAAAGTTTGAAATATTTGGAGCTTTCTTGTTTTCTCAAAAACTTGGAGTGCTTGATTTTCCTAATGTATGGTGGACTTGAAATTTTTATAGCGATTTCTTTTGGTTTCTTTAGAAAAGTTTGAAATATTTGGAGCTTTCCGGTTTTCTCAAGAACCTGGAGTGCTTGATTTTCCTAATGTATAATGGACTTGAAATTTTTATAGCGATTTTTTTGGTTTCTTTAGAAAAGTTTGAAATATTTGGAGCTTTTCTGTTTTCTCAAAAATTTGGAATGCTTGATTTTCTTAATGTATGGTGAACTTGAAATTTTTTTGGTTCCTTTAGAAAAGTTTGAAATATTTGGAGCTTTTATGTTTCCTCAAGAACCTGGAGTGCTTGATTTTCTTAATTTCTTTGGTGAAAATTTTTTGATCGCTTCTTGGGTGCCTTGTTGTGCGAAGGTTTTGGAATTTTTTACTTTTTCAATTTTATTTTTTGATCGCTTCTTGGGTGCCTTGTTGTGCGAAGGTTTTGGAATTTTTTACTTTTTCAATTTTTGTGGCAGATTTTGAGTATTTGGAGATTTTTCTTTCTCGTAGATTTGGAATTCTTGTGATTTCATTTTTTAATTTTGTTATGGGAAGTTTGCAACTTCTTTGATTCCTTTTTAACCCTTTCCATGGAAGATTTGAAATCCTTTTAGCTCTTGCTTTTTATGACTGTGACTTTATATCTATGGAAAATTTTTAGATTTTTGAGGCACTGTGAAGTTCTTTTTTTAGAAATGGGAATCGTATGTAAAATTGAGGGAACCTGTGGTAAGACTGGAAATATAACTTTTTCCTGTAATAAAATTATGAGTTTGGATTTATCGTAATTGAGAATTATTGCTTTATAACAGATTACTTTGTTTTGTAACAAGATTGTAGTCGAGTATTGTCATTCGTGATGAAAATGGGGACTTGCATATAATGTGATTAAGGATAACTAGCTCCACTAATTATTGTTAGTCTTAAAAAATACTCTGAGATGATTTCTATGGAATTTTTTGACTCAGTAGATAACTTAGTAAATTAGAAACATGTAGAGATTTTTTAATGGTATTTTTGTTGATTTTTCTTCTTAAAGAAAAATAATTTTGCAATTTTTTTCCCTCAGAAAAGACAAGTTTTAAAGACTCTCCTATGTCTTAGTTTAATGACAAATTTTTTAAAATACCTGCATTTTTTAAATAAATTATTTTAGAAAATCTTCAAATTTGCCAGATTATCAGATACCCATTATATAACAATGATTCCAAATTTTTATTGTTATAATAATAACAATATCTTAATGGAAAACTTAGTATGTCTATTGTGTTACCTATTAGAGAGATGAAACGAATTATTAGAATAAAAGGAGACAGGCTAATGAGAGCCAGCGAAGGAAGTGAGTTATTACATCGAATTGTTGCTGTAGTTATCGTTTCAGATAATGTATATTTTATGTAATGGACATTTATATAATATCTGTATGTTATTTTTTATTCCTAATTTAAGTAGCATTATATTTTTATTTTTTTTATATAACTTCCTTTTCCTAAGGAAGATAAACTTGGTACAAACATAAACAACCATAATCTGAAACTCTTTGTTAAACATGCATCCATAATGACTTCCTACTTCGTGATTTCCTTTTATTTAGAAGGTCCCTAATATATAAAATTATTTTTTAAAAATCAATTTCCCTTTTATAATTTTCCATTACTGATATTCCAGTAATACAATAATAAAATGATACTACGCATTACTATGAATAAAATACACAATTAACATCCATCATATATTTCTTCTATCATTTCAAACATTTACCGCTTCAATGATGAACGCTTCAATGAACGCGGCTGCATCTCAACTTGTCATAGTATTTAAGAACCGTTTACAATGGAGGTAGAAGTATGCAACGCTTACGATAACGTTCGGGATGTCGCAACCATTGATGCAGAGGAATATTAGCGGGCATCGACGGCCCAGAAATCGCCTACTATTGTGCCAGACATCATAACTGAGCTCATTGTCACCATCGTAACGCTTCTTGGAATTGTGTTAATCGAGGACGATTTAAACCTGCCTGGTTTACAATGCGTGTCCATGAGATATTACATCATTTGTTAATAATAAGACAATGATAACAAAATCTTACCACAAAACATTTCTTATCTACCTTCTTATTTTAATGTTATTTCCCTTCTTCTCTGATTTTTCAAAAGAAACGTAGAAGAGAAAATTTACACTGTATTAATTAGAAAGCGTGAAAGACAATTTCACTATGTTTAACGTTTAATGGTATTCACCGCTGCAACTGGGATAGGTAAAAAAAGGTAATATTTTGTCAGGACTTACCCTACATGTGACATGCCAACACCACGCTTTTGCGTCATCTTAGTCGGGTCACTCCCTGAAACAACTAGAAATAGTAAAAATCTTATCATGAAATTTGGTTTATTTAAAAGATTTTAATGTTCATAATACAAGGAATAATGTAAGTTAATTTTAAATACAGGTATAATAATCACGATATCAAATAAATGTAGTGTAAAAACACATTCACGTACTCATGATATATACTGTTATATGTACACGTTATTTTCTTTGATATCCTACCATTAAAATTAATACTGATTATAATACCCATACGATACCTATGCATATTTATATTAATACAAATTAAAGGGTCTATATAAACTTGCATTCCTTCCTGATCATGCTTCAGTTTTGTATACTAAAACTATGCATGTAGTTTCATATATACTCTTAAAGCAAAATCATTACTTAAACATAAAATCAAAAAAATTGAGGCCCTCACTATCCTGGAGCAATAGATTTGCATGTTAAGCATAGTAAATCACATAGAAAACAATTTGCATTTTATAATAGAAAAGCGTCCCACTTAGGAAAAGATGAACTGATGCTCGAAAATTCAGTGGAAATTGAACGCTTAAAATTTCACGAATTCCTCAAACTTGTGAAATAATTTTCATCCACGAGTGAAAATATTCTTTCGAAAATATTTTCAACACGACATTTGTGTATACATTAAATTGGGTAAAGCGAGAAAATACTTTCAATGTCAAACAACTTTGATACTTACCTGGTATGGAATGGGCGATCGTGGATACAGTGAACATTCAGATAAAATTTGATCGTTGCACCGTGAAACACAAAAAAGATGTAACAGCCAATCGAACTTTCACGCGAACACCTCGCGGCTAATGCACTTTACTTAACATCAAAACTGGGTGTTTACACTCAGCAGTCGCGCCATTTTGAAGTTTTACTCGGAATTTTATTTTTCCTCGAGCCTTCGAACATGAGAAGTGAAATTGCCTCGACAGCAGCGCAATCTGTTAGACTATTCTTGGAAACGTTTCGCGTCGAAATGTATACATACATATATATACAATTTGTATATATACATATATAGCCCCATAAGTATTGGCCTTTCTGTTCTACATATAACTTTCTCAATTAATAAGTATGACAATATTCTTCGAGAATCATTCCATCGTTTTTTATATAAATTCATTCTTAATATTATTAAAAAGGCTAATCATTGTTTATGCAATCGATTCTTAGCTACTATTTATCATATTTAGAAATGCTTGTTGAGGGCAACAATTGGGTCTATTAATACTTATCGACGCTAAGTGAGCTAATTGAAACAGTAATTAATTGGAAAATATCTTTTTAAACGTTAATTACCGAAAGGTTGCACAATTAAAGTGGTTTAGTGGCGCCACCTACGAACATTTTTCTTACGTCATCGAATATGTTGTTCTAACATAGTACCAAAACTGCATTTGGAAATCTGTGACGTATATTGCCAACTGTTTTTTAGGCAAATATTTAACAAGACGAAACAAATTTTAATTAGCAGTTTATAACTGAGTATAGATATATACTTATATTTAATACAAAAAATAATTTTAAAGTAATTAATTCAAATATTTTCAAAGTATCAACTATGAAATAAAATATAATATTAATAAATAAATTATTTTTCCTATGCATTATGTTGTTTCATCAAAATACTATAAGAAACATTTTTATTTAAATATTGCTATCAAGCAAGAAAAATGATCGATGAAGCATGAATTATACTGTGAATTAATATTTAACGATGTTACTATATATATTCAATAAAATCTACTAAATTTAGATTAACTGTATCGCTCTCATGTGAACGGTTCGGTGTAATTCGAAATAAGACGCCGTAGCGCCGGTATACCTGTATCTAGCCTGTATCTACTACGCAACTTCCGCTAACTCGCTGCTGAGCAAAATGGACGCCTTTGTGTCTGTTTTCCTCGTATTCACACTATAAATACTGTTTTCCTCGCGATGCACCACCTTTGACATGGCGATGTTTACGCGGTATCGTGAGAAATGTCAGTGAAAATCGTGCCGTGCCTCGAATCGAAGTGCATTCCTTGGTGATCAGCGAGAAAACGCATCCAACCAAATAGGCCACAACCACGGATGACAATTGAGTGAATATCTTTCACGGCGAAAACTTTTTCGAACAGACTCGCACGAACGGGGTCGTTGTTTTGGCAAACGTGTAAATATCGACAGTTTCCGCGCGTCCAACAACACAGGGATCTTGGATATCGATACGCCTCCCGCCAAAATTCCATTCACTGCTCGCATTCTGCAGTATAAATAATCGTTGTGCATAGCTGGGTAAGGCAATTGACACAAAACTTCAACCGAAGTTTGTTTTCTACTGCCAAATGACATACAATCATCGCAGTTACCACCACTGACTCCTGCAATTCTATTATTTAGCAGAATTGTGCTCACTTGGGAGGTTTCCAGTCTGTAGCATCCTCTTTTAGGCCATGTTATCATATGTATGATGTTGGATGGTAGATACTCGACAACAGGAGGTAATAATAACAGCTTTACGTGGTGATAGTGACTCAACCATTAAATGTTAGATAAATACTTTCTGTAAAATTATGTAAGTAGCTCAAATGATCAGGATTATTAATGCAAATATGGTTTGTATGAGCAAAAAATGACATTTTGCTTTAACATTGTATAAGTGAAGCGTTTGCTTCATTCGATGACTGATTTTCATTGGGATGTAATGTAGATTTATTTCAATGTGTTTCATTCGATGCGTTAGTGGTACTAATGGGTATTTATGAAGAATATTACAATAATTTTGTTCATGATTTCATTGATTTGATAATATGTTTGTTTTGACATACATATACATGTGTATATGTATATACATACATCTATGTGTATATGTATAAACCTTTAAAGTATTATTATTTTTTCAGTTGCTATGAATTAAATAGTGTTACATGCTATGAATAATAGCAATATAATATAATTTTATAAAATTTAAGTTGGTATTTCCCAAATTTTTTTTAAATTGGTTTCTTGAAATTCAGTTGAAGTTACTCTAACCTTTATAAAGGGTTTAACATTTTTTGTTCATATTTATTGTATTTAATTATATGATGTGATATTAATGTTCTGTTTCATATTTAGAGTAACTTTTTATTAATTATATAGAATATAAAAGTTTATGAAATAAATTTAATTGAAATTAATATTTTATCATAAAAGTATGTCATCAACTTGATATTACATAAATGTGAACTAATTTTACCTTGAATTACAAACTTTTATGATATACATTAGAAAAATTAAAATAGTAAATTAGAATAAGAGTGATAACCTATTTATTTATTATTTTCAAATATTAATGTTTTAATAGAACTTTAGATTTATATGTATAAAATGTAACGAATCAATAATGTAGCTATCATTATATTTGACATTACATGTTTGTTTCAGGACAAGAAATTATTACTAACAATGGACCGTTTATTGGAGGATCCACGTGCTTCATCAAAATTTGGTTGATAATCTCTAGTGCATCATGGGAACTTAAAAGAGACTTTGTTAAGTTCCCATTATATGCCTTAGTGCTAGTGTTTTTTAATGAGCGTTAGATACAATTCTGTTTAACAGTGAAATATTTCTTATGTCGGAATGCCTTGAAAATGCGAGTGTAAAGATTTTAACAATGATTTCTTTAAGAATTCGTGGGAACAGTGCATTTAGATATGTTCTGTTTATTTATATTTATCACATACTGTGAATAAGACTTTTTCTAATATGTCAGTGCAGTGTTTGTTACATTGGATAATTCTATGAACCTCAGAGTACATGTAAGGACATTGGACCTAATTTTAATAATATTTTTTGTCCAGGCTGTAATGCCAGAACAAGTCAAATTCAAGATGAACGGGGTTATACCGAGTGTGCCAATCACAACTCTCGCTGGTATCGCGAGTCTCACTGACTTGTTACCTGAAATGCCCCTTCCAACACCGCTGCCTCAGACTTTAACTAACAAGTCACTTTTATTTCATCCAAGAGTGGCAGAGGAAGCACAAATATTGCTAAGTGTTCGCAATGAAAATTTAGTGCCGCAGTTAATATTGTCTTTATCTCAAACTTCATCCGATCATATTGAACTGAAAGATAATTATGCAAATGCAGAACAGCCTTTGGAAACCGAGCAAAATACTCCGGAATTACTTAAAGCAATTTTACAAATAAATCCGCATGTGTTTAAGGGGCCTCAATACAATTCTCCACGAAACTGGGCCCAAGGCACACCTATGATGCATACCAACCAAACATCCACTAATTATGGACGATTTTCACCATCCTATTCAAGTTCTTCAGGGTCGAGACAAACACCTCAAGGTAGTCCAGCTCATCCTGCTGCAGCTAGAACAGTACTACCACCACCTACTGGTATCAACCCTCTACCCAATATGACCCCGCAACCAAATATGTATTCTCCAGCACATATGAGTTCTCCTGGTACACCATTAACAACTATTGGTAATGTAACACCTCAACACCATAATATGGCTGGTATGACACCTCAACATAATATGCACATGCCATCTCCTATGCGTGCTAATATACCTTTGCAACAACATCAGCCAATTAATATCCAGCAAAATATATACGATCCCATGATGAATCAACAAGTACATCATCCATTAGGAAATCATCAACCAATGGACATAGATAGTACAGTGCAAGAAAACCAGCAGTTTTTACTTGATCCAGTAACAGGTCTTCCTGATATTGATATACCGATTGAAAGTATCGAGGCGAAACAGACTGTGGATAACGCGACGCAACATCTGCTATCTACAACTCAAACTACGTCTTATCCAAATGTGGATACAAATGATATGGTTAATACATTGAACACTACGACAACACCAATGATACAACATCAACAAAATAATAATTCAGAAAAGGGAATGAAAATGCCTGGCCCTTTACCTGAGAAATTAAAGGAGCCAGTTGTTATGTTGGATAGACTATCTTTAGCAGACCAAGCTTTGATGCAGAAGAGTTTAGCCGCATTTGCGGAGAAGTCACCGAGTAGAGCAGCGAAAATGGGCATTTCTAAAGGCGAAGATGTGAAGTCCGAATCGGAGAGCGAAGAAGAAATCGGCAAGAACAATAAATATTTTAAAGCACGCGCGAAAGAACGCCAAGTCCAAAGAGAAAAGGAGAAGGCTGAGAGAAAGAAGAGCGAGGATAAGACTCGTAGACGAAGAAGGGTACTGGACGATGACGATGACGAAGATAAGAAAGAAGTCCTTACACCGACGAAACCAAAAATCCGAAAAATAGAGAAAAAACTTGTTCCTGTTCTGGCTAAACTCAGTGTAGAAGAGCTGATGGAAACGAATACGTATCAACGTTTCAACACGACTATAGAAACAATATTCGAGAATACAGAAGACATAGCAGCTAACGCCGAATTGGATGATGATGGTGATGTGCCTCCAGAATTATTAATTCCTAAATACCAATTACACGATTTATGCACAGAAGCAGCCAAATTGAAGGCATTAGGAGCGATGGAGTCGATTCCAGCGGATAGATTGGTTAGACTATTAAATATTTTAGAGAAGAATATTCGGGATGGGGCTAAGGTGTCTCCACTAGCAGATCCGGACGATGACGTTGACGAAAGTCGATTATGGATGCAGTTAGCTATGGAAAGAGTACAGCGCGCTGTAGATGCATCTTTGATCGCGTTGCACATTATGACGTCTAGCAATATGCCAAAAATGGTTTACTTAGAGGATGTGATTGACAGAATAGTTCTTTTCATGAAGTTTCAGTTGCAGAACACCATTTATCCTTCATTTGATCCAGTTTACAAGATAGATACAAAAAATAAGACTGACAATTATAATTCTAGTGGTCGTAAGAAAAGGGGTCATATGAAAGAGGTCCGTGAGAAAAGTATTCTTCAGGTTTACAACAAAATGCATGAATTGGTTGGTCTTCTGGCTGAACTATTAAACATCCAAGTTCTAACAGATACCAGTGTCCTACATGCCTCCACATTAGGTGTAGCACCATTTTTTGTTGAATCAGTTAGCGATCTTCAGCTGAGTGCTTTAAAATTGGTTACGGTAATATTTACCAAATATGAGAAGCATAGAAGATTATTGTTAGACGATATCTTGGCATCTATAGCTCGACTTCCTAGCAGCAAGAGAAGCCTCAGGACCTATAGGTTAAATTCTGAGGATCACATACAGATGTTAACAGCCTTGGTCCTACAGTTGATTCAGTGTGTTGTTGTCTTATCCGATAATATAATCCCACAGCAAAAGAAGACACAGGATGATGAGGAGAAGAAGGAAGAGAAGAAGTCTAACTATGTTGATGCAGATGTCTTAATTATAAATAAATATGAGACCGCTACTAGAATAGCAGGGAATTTTTTAACAGTGTTCTTGAATAAATGCGGCAGCAAAGGGGAAGAAATAGATTATAGACCACTGTTTGAGAATTTTGTGCAAGATCTGTTGGCTACAGTCAATAAGCCAGAATGGCCAGCCGCCGAGTTGCTTTTAAGTTTACTTGGAAATTTATTAGTGGGACATTTCTCCAACAAAAGCTCTGACATGGCGCTCAGAGTAGCGTCCATCGACTACCTAGGCGTGGTAGCAGCCAGATTAAGAAAAGATGCGGTTAGTTCTCACTGCAAACTATCTACCATCGATCAAATTATAAAGGACATCAAAATAGAGCAACAGAAAGACTCCGATTATGACCAGGTGAAGGATAAGGAGATAGTAGGTTTGAGCGAGGACGAGGAGCGGACGGTTTTTTTACAGAAAGTACTCCTAGACTACTTAGCCGTGAACGGAACCAAGGATTCTGCTCTGGGTTATGCTCGCCACTTCTATTTGGCACAATGGTACAGAGATTGCGCGGTAGAAAAGTCCAAAGTTGGCCAAATAAAAAACAGCCCTAGCAAGAAGATGCACAAGAAGAGAGTGAAGAAGAAAAATAAGCATCACGCGAGTGATCAAGATTCTGAGTCGGAGCTGGATGAACAAGATGCGGATGAAAACGACAATAATGAGCAAAAGAATTCAGAAGCTTACAGAATCATAGAAGAGAAAAAGAAGTACATTGTAAGTAGAATAAGGCCGTGCAGCACGGGCACGAAGCCGGATATTCTTCAAACTTATATCGACTACAATTCAGCAGAACTGATATCGCAGTATCTCGCCTCAAAGAGGCCGTTCTCGCAGAGTTTCGATCGGTACTTGAAGCAGATCCTGCACGTGCTCACAGAGTCGTCTATCGCGATTAGGACAAAGGCGATGAAGTGCCTGACGATGATTGTCGAGGCGGATCCAAGCGTATTGGCGCGAGTGGATATGCAATTGGGCGTAAAACATTCGTTTCTAGATCATGCGACGTCAGTCCGCGAGGCGGCTGTCGATCTGGTAGGAAAATTTGTACTAAGTAGGCCCGAATTAATAGATAAATACTACGACATGCTGTCGGCTAGGATCCTAGATACTGGCGTTAGCGTTCGTAAACGTGTGATTAAAATTCTCAAGGACATCTGTATGGAATGTCCTGACTTCCCCAAGATACCAGAGATCTGCGTGAAGATGATCAGACGGGTGAACGACGAGGAAGGTATTAGGAAATTGGTGATGGAGGTGTTTCAGAATATGTGGTTTACACCAGTCAGGGAACGCCCCACTTTGGACTCCGAGTCGCTGTTGAGGAAGGTAATGAACATTACGGACGTTGTGGCAGCTAGCAAAGATATGGGTCTGGAGTGGTTTGAACAGCTGCTGGTTAGCTTGTTCAAGCCCAAGGAAGATAAAGACGATAGTACAAAGATGCAAACCGAGCCCCCGAAGGCGTTGTTGACGGCGTGTAAACAGATTGTCGATTGCTTGATCGAGAACGTTCTTCGACTGGAAGAGACAAACTTGGAAGAGTCCGAGAAGTCAGAGAAAAAGGGATCTTCTCAGAGATTGGTTGCTTGTCTAACAACTTTATATTTGTTCGCGAAAATACGGCCGCAATTGCTAGTCAATCATGCGATTACGTTACAGCCTTATCTGAGCTTGAAATGCCAAACTCAGGGTGATTATCAGATCATCAGCAGCGTGGCACATACACTGGAGCTAGTTGTGCCGCTGATGGAGCATCCTAGCGAGACTTTTTTAGCACAACTGGAAGAGGATTCGGTAAAGTTGATTTTGCAACATGACAGGTCAGTCGTAGCCAGCTGTTTATCTTGTTTAGGCTCCATAGTAAACAACGTAACCAGAAATTTTAAGTTAATACGAGACTGCTTTAAGAAATATTATGGACATCTGACTGAGTACAAATCCTTTTACGAGAAAGATCCCACGAATCCTATGCTTTTAAAGTACCGACCATTTGTCAGGAGAGCGTTGTTCACCGTTGGCCTGTTGCTACGACATTTCAACTTCACCGATCCGGAAGTTATCGAGGGACTAGCGGAAAACATAAAGGATCAGGTATTCGAAACGTTAAATTACTTCGTACATCTGGATAACGATGACATTCGACATTTCACTCTGTCTGCTATTGGTTCATTATGCATCCGTCACTACGAATTCATGCTACTTCCCGAGTTAAAGGAACTGTACCATCATCTACTCACGTCAGAGAATGCTTTGGTTCACATGAGGATTCAGGTGCTGAACAATATCGAGGTATATCTGCAAGAAGAAGACAAGAGGATGATCAAGCAAGATATGGAATGGGCAAAGATGTCCAAACAGGAGAACTTGAAGGAGATGGGGGATGTTTCGTCAGGAATGGCCAGCACTGTGATCCAGTCATACGTGAAACAGATTCTGGAATCTTTTTTGCACATGAACATTAGCGTTCGACACGCAGCACTGAAGGTAATCCAGCTAATCTTGGCTCAGGGTTTGGTTCATCCAGTCCAAATAGTTCCCTATCTAATCTGTATGAGCACAGACTGTGAAAAGGCGGTTAGCCATAGTGCGGACAAGCAACTTCAGGATATTGAGAAGAAGTATTCAGGCTTCATTCACATGAAGTCCCAGTTAGGTATCCAACTGAGCTATAGGCTACAGAAAATACTGCAGAATGAAATGACGGTGAGGGGAATGCGGGTAAAAGAAGGCGAATTTCCTGGCGCGTTGAACGGTTTCCTATACACCATCCTCAGGAACACGAAACAGCAGAGGAGAGCTATTGTGCTTTCCTTCTTGAAGCAATTCGACGAGTCTGCGAAGACCAGCTTATCGCAAATGCTTTACCTGGCAGACAATCTCGCTTATTTTACATATCAAGTGCAAGACGAACCGCTGTTCATCATCCATCACATTGATATCATTATCTCTATGTCCGGCACAAACCTATTACAGTCGTTCAAGGAGGCATTGTTACCGAAAGAGGGTTGTAATCAGTCGCAACAGCAGCATCACCATCAGCAACAGCAACAGACTCACTCATCTCTAGGACCGGACGGACAACCGCGACCGGAACAGTTATTGTCAGTTCTGGAAGATGAAGAGGACGACGAAGAGGACGAGGATACGCTGCTGGTGAGGCTACCAGGAGATACGACGTTATTGAGGGAGTACATTACTGCCAGTCAAGGCTTTCTCTTGCTGCTCACTTTAAGGCAGCACCTGAAAGACCTGTATGGCTTCTCTGATCAGAAGATCGGCCAGTACTCGCCGACTGAGGCAGCGAAGGTGTACGAGAAGGCGGTGAATCGCAAGAGCAACGTGCTGTTCAAACCAAAGGCTACCTTGCAGAGATTGAAGGAGGGCGTGAGCAGTGCCGAGCTCGACGCTGATGGCAGAAAGAAATTGGTGAAGGAGTATTTGGACTTCAAGCAGTTGATGCTAAAGTTTGACCTAGAAGAGCCAGAGGAGGACGGAAACGAGGGTGATACGAGCGGAGGTGGGAAACAATTGTTGGAGGCTTCTAACAGAATGACAAATTCTGAAACGGACGGAAAAATGGCAGACGGCGGTGTGGCGGGCAATCCTCAGGTGGTGAGTCAATACCAAGCCAGCCTAAACTCGTCGATCGAGCATCCGAACAATTCGGTGAATTCAATGGCCACGAGTGGCCCTATTCCAGTTTCAATGGCGGTCCACATGCCAGCGCCGGTCACCTTAAACATTACGCCAGCGTCACAAGTGGCAGCGCCACGTGTGCCCAAGTTGACGATACACGCGCACCATCCAGAAGGAGTGAAGGAACACCGCAAGCATCGGGCGCACAAAACGGAGAAGGTGAAAAAACACAAAAAGAAGAAGAGGAGAAGAATCTCCGATAGCAGCGAGAGTGGCGAGGACTACAGTGACCCTGACTTTTTAGTGTGAGTGCGGTGGTGTCTCCGCGCCCGTTGTGTACATATTACATACTACGTACGAGACTATAATACGATAACTGACGCGTGTTTCGCGTGGTTGATGTGCGTGCTGGTGTGCGTGCGGCGTTTTCTTGGTGCGTTTCGTATCGCCCGTGAGTCTAGGCGTTCCGTTTTCTCTTCTGTTTTTCTTTTTTGCGTAATCGAATTCGAATAGAGGGAGAGAAAAATATATATATAGGATATATGACACTGATCTTATAGAAAATACCAGTGCCGGACGCTCTGAAATCGCGACGGACTTTATCGATCACGAAAATGGATTAGAACTTTTAGCGAGACTAAACGAAAACGAAGGTAAAGGAATAAGGTGAGACGATGCTGATGTACAGAGGAGTGGGAGGTGCTCTGCGGGAGTGCGTGCGATCTTGTTTATGACTATTTGATTGAAAGGGAGCGAGAGTGAGGGAGAGTGTGTGAAAGAAAGAGTTCAGACGAAAGAGAGATTTTAAATATCGATCGTCTCGAGACGGTCCTTTAGGGTTATCTTGTTGGTTAGGTCATGTGGTGAATGCGCGTCTAAAAATTTCTCAGTCCATGTTAAACAGTTCGAGAGACATCGTTCGCGTGACTGGTAAGAGGAACTTGGTTCAGTCACAAACCGCACGATCGCGCTTCTATCGTTCGATTTCATTTTCCTTTCTTTTCGATCTCTTCGCGTTTACAATGGAAAATTCCTTGCGAAAATATTTTTCATTTTATTTTTTCTTTCTACTTTTTTTTTCTTTTCCTTGCTCCTTATTTTTTTCTTTCTACATTTTTTCTTTTCTTTACTCCCCATTTTTTTCTGTTCTTTTTCTTTCGCAATACTCGAAAATTAATGAAAAATCAAGAAAAGCGAATTTTTTTTCCTCCGTTCCCGAAAGGTACTCCAATGTTATTAATACCAACAAATTAAAAAAAAAAAAAAAATAGATCGATATGTAATTCCATAGGATCGAATCGGATCAAGAGAAAGAAAGGAACATTGCGAACCAAGTTCCCACTTCGAAAAAGAGAACCCGAGTTGTAGAGTTTTCTTGGAATACATCACGTTTTATTCGAACAGACGTTGTCTATGTAAATACTATTAAATAATAACTGCAAGGTTGATAGATGTTAGTTTTTTTTCACGGAGATAAAAAGAAAGAGAAATCAGTACTGGACAAGAGAGAGAAGATTCGGCCATGTTGAGAAAGAGGTGAAATCAAAGTACAGTTCAAAAAGATTGGTATCGTTTTTTTTCGTTTCAAAATCATTATACAAAAAAATATATAAAAAAATTTAAAAAAAATGGAAAAATAGATGAAAAGAATACTATCGAAAACTCGGGGAAACAACGAGAGAGCGAGAGCGAGAGAGAGAGAGCGAGAGCGAGAGAGAGAGAGCCAACGCCAAGAGAAAAAGAGAAAACCACAAGAGAGAAAGAGAGATTTCAAGAAACGCATAAAGAGTGGATCCGTTTAGACTTGCTTCACAGCATGTATAATAGAAAAGTGTGTAGTAAAGAAAGATTTAAGAAAAAGAAACAAAATGAAAGAAAACAGAAACACATTGCCTATGCATTATGAGAGAGAGGGAGAGAGGAGAGAGAGAGAAACAAAAAAACGTTGTTTGTAATATCTGTACATACAAATTTCAAGTAAAGTATCTTATTTTCTTACAAACTATATAGTGGTGACATTACGAAAGAATACTTAAAATTTTGTTGTAATATTAAGTATTTATTCAGGATTCATGTTGTCCCAATATAGTTTGCTTTATGCACACAACTCGTCTTTTGGTGTAACTGAAAAAAAAAAAAAAACTATCGTTTTTATACAAGCTTAGGAATAAATGAAATAAAAACAGAAAACAAAAAAAGTGCAGAACGAAAAGAAAGGGAAGAGGATACGAGAAGGAAGAAAAATCGAAAGAAAAGAGTAACGACGTAGTGACGTATTTTCGACGGGAAACGAACGAAATTCGACGGGTAGGGATGGGATGGGACGAAGAAACAGGCAGACGAGAAACTGGAAGGAACAACAGGAGACCCGTGGAATAGCGCGGTCAAGGGAGGCATAGAAGATCTTCGCTAGCTCACGCAATTCTTCGATGACTCGTTTCCTTCGTAGTGGCGCCACATGGCGGTTTCGACAGTTCAGGACGAAGCGCCATGCGCGGAGCGTTAGTCTGAAATTGCGTGTCAACGTTTCCATTACGTCCCTGATTCGACAATCGACCGTGCATCTGTGATCTTCAACGATATTGAAGCAGGGACACGTGCGTCGCTCCTTTCATCACGGTATAATTCGTCTTTTTTATACGTTTATAGAAAGCCAATCGACCACCATTGACAGATTTTATCGAAACGAACAATTTGAGGTTATTCGTCCTGGATGGTTGAATGTTACACTCGACACATTTATATACACGCATATTTCAGGTCTGTGAATCAGTTCAAGTGAAACCAAGCCGTTTAGAAGTATAGATCACACGACTTTCGATCGATTCTTTATCGAAGGCGAACGAACATGTGATATCGTCGTCCATATTCTTTAGCTCGCTAGCTTGAAACGTTTGTGTCTCGTTAAGACTGGCTGCAGCACGAAGGAAACGAGTTACCGGATGGGAAAATGACTGTATGGACCGCAAACCCTTGATTGGTGAAAGAAAGACAGCGACAGACACGAATGGAATGAGAAAGATAAGGTTTTTACTTTTTACGTGGATCATCCTTTCGTCCTGCGAGAACGTTACCATTTTACGATCATCGTCAATCATTGTTGCATTTACAGTTGGTCGTTCATTTCTTACGGGAAGGAAAAAACGATTAAAAAGAAAACGGAAAAATTGTTGACTATTCAACGGATCTACAGAGATCAGTCCGCGGAACGTCGACGAACGAACGCAGACAGAATGGTCTATTAGGTGATATACGCTTCTTTCGTTTTAATCTCGATTTAAAGTAGCACTTTATTGGGGCCCAGATGTACATTCATCTATATCTCATCAATAAATCTGGCAGCAAAAGAAGTATGGAATTCATTCGATTAGTTATTAAGAGTCAACTATATTCGCAAGAAATGTATGCGGGTTCTAACTCCAAGAATTTTTTTATTTTTCCTTTGATACTCACTTTAGTCGAAAGTTTATTCCGCAGACGTCGGTACTTTTCAATTAATACTAATAAATTGATCGTTTTAATTGTAGAATGGAGAAACATAGTTGACACGTGTACATTTCTTGCTTCTAGATTAGTCGAACGTTCTCAAAAACCGTCGCGAATCCTTATTAGAAACCCAAAGTCAAGTCGATGAACAAGTTGATAAAAATTTCAAGACTCCGGTTCGACATCGACGCCATATTGATTTTAGGAACATGCACGAATCGTTTCCTTTAATCGCGGTCCCTTTTATCTTCGAGCCTTCTTTGAACCCGCGTCTCTTCATCGAAAAACGATCGATCTCGATCCAGAGAATCTCGAGTCCGATTCTTTACCGTCCCCGAACCGTGTGCAATGCTAGCAATTAGAAAAACTTGTAGTAAACTAACCGTGGCGCGAGCGTTGAATTTTACGAAATCGCGGACGCCATAGTCAAACGCTGTTCCTGGCACTCTGAAAGAGAAAAGGGATACGTGCATTTCTCGATCGTCATAAACGAATTGCGTTCGTTACAAATGACGTCGCGGACTATTCGGTGGATCCTGGCTGTTCGATCGATCGATGCGAAGAAATGAGAGAGAGAGAGAGAGAGAGAGAGAGAGCGAGAGAGGAGACGAGGTATGGGAAGAACGGATAGAAGGAGAGGGGAAACAAGGAAAAGAAAACAACCGAACACACCTGTTGCGCCTACAGTTACACAAGAGAAAGAAAGAAAGGAAATAGGGAGTCGAAGAAAGATGGGAAGGGACGCGTGAAACCGCGTTAGAGGTTATCGATGACAAACATTGTTAGTGGGGGGATCAGTGCGACTAAAATAACCTTTGGGGGCATAGAGAAAGATCTTTAAACTGTACAAATGTTCAAGCGTGTACATATTTATTATAAAAAAAAAAGAATAAAGCTGAGTTACGAAATAGAAAATGGCGTACAGCGCGGGAAAAAGTCGACGAATCGTGTGTTAGTCCTTGTTGCGATAAAGGATAATAAAGAGTGAATACGAGTGACTGTGTGGATGAAAGGGGGCTAAGATGACTGTGTGACTGAACGAAATAGGAAATTGGAGCGTTTCATTAAACACTTTATTGTTCATTGTAATAAACCTTTAGAGAAATCGTATACACTATTGAGAAGAGAAGAATTCTAAACGGTTATATTTCTTTGTGTATATATACGTATGTAGACTGATATATATGTATATATACACAGCTCAGAGGGAAGAAAATCGAAGGACATTAATATTGCTACAGTATGACGTTTGATTCGTAATTGCGTGCCCGCGAGGTTATGGATGGAAGATGGTGTGATCGCGAATTGTAAAATTTCGCGAGAAAGATGGAAAGGGAACGGCGGAGGATGTGAACAGGAAAAACAGGAAAAAAAGAACACAAAAAAATATGTGGACAAAGAGAGAGGAAATTGAAGAAAAAAAAAGAAAAAATGAATATAAACACACGTCGACTCTGATCGATCTATCGTACTCAGCACAGTACGAGGCACATTTGTATTATAACATTATACATATATATATATAGATATTGTATCACCTATGTTTTTGTATTTGATAATCTAACGACAGACGACAAGGAAAGGAGATAAAAAATCTACAAAAAAGGATATCGAATTAACGAACAGAAGGTTAATAGAAAGTATATTATATATTTGAGTAAAATACCGAGAATTGGTATTATCCATGGCTGGATATAAGAGGGGAGGGGGGAAACCGTATTTTCGTCCGTTTTAGGCATTCATTTAATTTTCCTCTCTTCGTTCTTATCTTTTCTGATCCTTTATGTTCGTTTTTCTGCGTTCGATATACACATACACACACGCTCAGGTAACGTGGGGCGGGGCGGGGCGGGTTGGGGGGTAAAATCATCTATTAGCAGTCCATTTTTAAACAGACGATAAATCGACGGTCCTGGATAAAGCCAACGCTTGTTTACTCATAACTTATTATGTACATCGTCTGAAGAAAACCGGTACGTTCGTAAAAGAAAAATAAACATAAGTATGTATCAATCGGTTTCGTTCATTTCCTCTTGCCCTTCACCATTTTTGTCGAGCGTGCACGTGCAATATGGCGGCTGCCATTCGATCGACTCGTAGTACGCGGTTATATTTCGAGATATCTGTGAAATCAGTAGAAATTAACTCGCGAAGTTGCGTCGTGTTGTGCTGAGGTCGCGTTTTCAGAATGAGTCCAACATCTTGTAACAATTTTCAAAGCGGATCCATTTGTATAGCCACTTCTGGCGTGTTTCGAATTTTCTCAAGGCAATAGGCAGCAAGTAGCATGGGCTATTTGTAATCCGAAGATTTTAGCGATTGTAAATAAAGCAATGGAAATATGACAACTTTGGAGTATAGTGAATTCGTCGATAGCGAATCGACCACGGGACATCGTCCTCGTTTCTTTTGTGTCTATCGAGTTGTTGAGTCGTGTTCATGGATACTTTTTCATTGAAGACTGTTTACTATAGGAGATACTCGTAGTACATCAATTCGGAAATGAAGTACAAAATACCGAGATTTCATTCGCCTTTAGTGAAGTGGTTCCGAAGAGTTTGGAGACGTTCGAAGAGGAAGTAAGTACAATTACCGTAAATACCTTCAAGTAAGATGATTATTATGCAACAACTGCGTTGACGATTTGCTATTCCAGAGTGTGCTGTTCGATTGGTTAATTTATTAAAGTTATGACATAAATTAGCGGAGGAGTAATGAGAAACATATCGTATATTCTTTAATTGTAAAGATTCTAATTTTTAAATATATACATATATATATCGAAATATTAATTAGAAAAAGGAAGATGAAAATAATTCTTTTTAGGCAGATTATAAGCAGTTTCCAAGTTGCGTTCGAGTTAACATCAGTTTATAGTTGAATATTGTTTTAGGAGTTAGTACGAAGAGATGCTGTAACGTTCACGAGTGAGAAATTATATATTTATACGTACTTTGAGTCGCGTTAGTTCCCAGTGACGTTTAAATAACAATACTTGTTCGAATACAATGAATTAGGCTTACGATAATACGATCATTTATACTAATATCTTTTACATTTTTTAATCGACATATTTCTTATTAGATTTTTAGATCTTCTGATTCTTCGTTCCTCCATCGGATACACCTGTAATACCATCCATATGTAAATAAATAAAAAGTTTAATAATTTAACTAGCTACTCACATGTTTGGGATATCCTTGATATATTGAAATTCATTCGAGTGTTTCGTTGAGTCTTCGACTTTACATTTCTCCCTCCAAACCTTCGTAGTATTTAGCAAAGTTGAATAATCTCGGGTCTCCACGAGCTCCACCCTCTTTACATCCACTAGTTCGCTCTTGCTTGGTTTTCTTGAACGTCGAATCAAGTCTTTCCTTTTCTTCGTAAATTCTTTATCCTGCTTTCTGAAAAGATAGTTCCTCTTTGCGTTTAAATTTATTTAATATATTTATTTTCATTTTTTATTTATTTTTATATCTATTTATGGTATCGTAGATCAATAATATATTTGGAAAAATTTTACCTAAATTCTTTAATCAAAGTTGCGTCATATTTATATTTTTCCTTCGAATGTTCGTCCATTTCTTTCAAAGCATTTTCTAAAGATTTTTTCTTTTTGTATTCTTCCAGAGCTTCCTGAATTTTCTCTCTACGCTTTTTTCTTCTATTTTCCTGCACTTCCTTCTTCAGTTTCAGTTGCATTTTTACCTGCTCCTCGTCCATTGAGCGTTTATTTTCCTTCTCGAGTTTCCATCTTTTAATTTGTTCCTTTTTATCACTTCTATTCGAATCAGCACTGCTGTTGGTACTTCTGGATTCTGGTTTAGACGACTTTGTCTTTTTTGGAATATTTATGGTTTTCTCTTTTGCATTTTCATCTTGAAAAGCTTCATCTTCGGAAGCACTTTCAATTTCTTTTTTAATTTCGTCCATGTTCTTTTTTTTTTCTAATTCCTTTTGTTGACGCCACTCTTTCACTGCTGCCTTTTGCTTTTCACGCAGTTCTTCGTAATGTTTAAACCACGCTTCGTGATTCACTATAGTTTCTGGCGATAAATCTGGACATTTTTTTCTAATAGCTGCAACTAGGGCTGGAATATTCTCGCACTTTTTTCTCATTTTTAAAAAGAACAGATGGTCCTCTGAACTCCAATTTCCCGTGTGTCCTGTTGTATATTAAAAGAAATTTTGAAAATTTATTAGTGTTTCTTACTTGAATATTTAAAACACAATTTTATTACCTGTTAGGGCAACCAGATCATGAAAATCGTCTACATCTTTATATTCTGTCTTCTCCTTTTTATTTTCCACTTTATTTTCATGCGAAAATTGTAGAAATGCATCTTTCTGCGCTTTCTCATACTTTTCTAAATTAAAATCGAGTTCGTCTAATTCGGTATTCAATGCAACTCCTTCCTCCATTAAAGTTCGAATGGGACAGGATTTCTTGAAATCCTGCATTTTTTGCGAAAGTTTGATCAATTTTGATTTGTACGTATTAACATCTAAACATAAATATAAATAAAATTAATTACGTCGTCCATTATTGTTCATATTTCACTATATATAATTATTTACCTAACTTTTGTATATCTTCCGGATTCTTCGCAGTATGTTTCACAGAATTCAACTCAAAATTAATATCGTTTATATTTTTATACATTGTGTTCAAAAAGTCTTGCCTGTATTAAAATTAATATTAATAATTAGTCAAATATTTTCTAGAATTAAAATTTCGAATTGACTCAAGTAGTAAGATCAAACGTATCTTAAAATTTACCTCTTAGAAAATAATTCTCTGTGCTCGTGCATAATATCCTGTATCAAATTCGGGTCTATTTTCATGTTTCCAATTGCACTAATTAGACCCCTTTCGAGAATATCTTGCTGTTGTTTCAATCTCAATAGTGGTTTCATATATAGTTCTCTTTGAGCAGAAGTCACTTTCTTCCTTGACGTATCATTCCCTGGTTTAACCAAATTTCCGCTACTGGCGCTCATTGACGTAATTAATTATCGGTAAGTGAACGTTAATTACTCGAGAAATTGGTTTCAGTATCCCTTTGAGTTTGACATTTATCGTCAAAGTACTTGTAGCATACTTCGTTCAATTTCCATAGATCGACTGTGGTTTCAATTTAGTTTCCATAGCGATTTCCTATATCGTATAACCCCATACATTCTTTGCACCTGTCGTTTGAACGAGAAAGTACATACGGAGCATACGATGGCCTTGGTAATTATATTTTCACATGGTCATTGCCTCTTAATTGAGTCTTATGATTGAGATGTTAACTCTATAAGGAGTATGTAAACTGTACCAGTTTTTCTTATGGTACACTGTATCGAATGCTTGTTACACGATAATCAGGACTGAACATTTGTTTTTATATAAGGCACTTTATATTACTGTTAAATTCGTTGTCTAAATCAACTGATAAATTCCTCTATTTTTAAAATTACATTTAATTACGTTTTATTATGATTACATTATATTAGTAACGGAAGAAATTAAAGAACAATTTAGCACAAACGATGTATAGGTTAGAATTATTATTCAATACATTTTTGACACATGCTTCGAACTCCACAGATCTCACTTATCATTTTAATGCCATTTTCAACGTTATCGATTGTTCGTAGAATTTAATTACAACACCAGTGGTTGGAATTAAAATTAAGTTTATTTACTTTCATTTATTTTCATTTATAAATCAAACTTGTAACTGGCTTAATTTACATGTTAATATGTAAACGAAATGAAAAGGAATATTGACATAGAATCAAGACTATATGTAATAGATCAACGAAAGGAAAGTGTGGTGACTAGGAATCTTTTATTTTAAAATTATCATCTATGGTTTATCAAAAAACCTAACATACCTACTGTTCCATCTCTCCATGAAAAATATTAATTCTTTTCTTTGAAATCATTTACTTTATCTGCAATCGGTAACAGTGCTCGCTTTTTCCAGTTCGTACTTCTCTCACTTTCTTCCATGCGCATTTGCTATATCATAGTGCCGCCTGGTGGGCAGACTAGATATCACTAGTCCCTTCCAAATTTATGAACCAACGACTACATTCACGTTGCGGCGAAGCATTTATACGGGTGGACAGTAACTAGGCGCTTTAGTCTCTGGTTGGGACGCGACGCGTGAGTATGGGGCATGAGCGCATCCCTGAAGATGTGAACGGTACTGTGTATTGAAAACAATCGTGACGCGACAGAAAAATTGCATGATACACGTTGTACGAAACGGACGTATCCTCTGGCCTGTATTATCGAGCTTTTGTCCCGGCGGCATTGTACCGTATCGAAGTGAGAACTGTCAGTCCGCAAATGTCCGGTGAATCGATCGTGTAACACGCGACAGCCGAACGATACGTCGCCCGATGAAAATTGGCGGTCTCGTGTGCTACAGATCGAGGCGATTTCGGGATTAAATCGTTCGTCGATGCAACACTCGTCGTCGCGGGTGCCTGTCAGGGATACGTGAAGAAGGTTCTTTCTGTGAATACGGCTGAGAGAGGTGAGTGAAAAATATCGAGTACATATTGATTTATTTGGCTAGTATTGCGTCGTAATTTTTTGTCCCGCCTTTTTATCCGACTTTCGTTGATTCGATATCGCAACCGTTGGCGATTACCTCGTTCGACTCGACGATCATTTACGATCATAAAACATGATCGTCGATCTTGAAATAAGTGTGAGAATGTTCCAAGCATTACGTTGCTTTCGTGATTCCATGAACTTTCGTCTCTGATGATAATCGCGTGATGATTGACGGTCGGAATAAAATTAGAGGTTAGGTCGATTGTGGAATATCGTGACGGATAACATGTTCGTAATTTACGATGTAAATACATGTGTCACGAAGCAGATACCTGTATCTGTCGAACGTGTGTGCTATAGATTATCGCAATTTCGATAGGTCCAGAGTGGTTTCGTGTCAAAGACGGGTCAGCGATTTTAGTTTTATCTCGAATGCCGCGGGAAGAAATGCACGATAAGATTCCCGATGACGGTTACGCTTTAAATACACGCAGCGGGTCGATCTAACCGTCGAACCGTCGAAAAAGCCACGCTGCCACAAAGATGTCTCTGTCAAACAAAGTTTTTATTGATTTAGCAACGCAAATGTTTGCTCTCGCGGTTATGCGTGATTGCTCGCCAAACAGCCGATTAGGTGTTGCTTGTTTTAACACGAAGATAATTTTTCTTAATGACAAATGCAAACTCTGATTTAAGTAGCTCAAAATTAGCTTAAATGTCAAGAACAAAACAACGGTCGAATTATTAATTCGTACACATCGCGACCTAACCTAACCTAATCATATCATACGCATTTCAATTTCCGATTTCCAAATAATTATTCGCTTCTCAAAATATTGTTTCTGATTCATATTCCCGCTTAACAAATTATATATTTTTGCATTATTTATCGCAATCTTATTATTTCATCGTATCTTTTGATACATAGGCGTAACGGATTAAGGACTTAACCTTTGAGCTCTGCTCTTTAATAACGTGACAATATTCACGAACGTTGTTGAATATCCATCCTACATTTCTCGATACCTTTTCCAAGAACAAACGTAAAATCAAAATCAAAATCGAAAAAAAAAGAAAAAGAAATGGAAAAATAAAAGAGGTTAAGAATAAAGCAGGTATCGTTAGAACCACTTTAATAGCGATTTATGTTGGAAACATTTTGCATCCTTAGCAAGATCGTTATTGACGTCTATTTTTAAGCCGCTTTACCTTAAAAGTCTTAATAAATTTTCCGAGAGCGCAACGCTGACTCACCTGTCCTTAGCGCGTTTAAAAACACGCTTAAAAGGCAAATGAGGCGATTAACGTATCAGCGTGTAGCTAGGCGAACAAATAAATCCTGCGCGTAATGACACTTCTACGAAACGAATGCAGCGATGATCTTTGCGGCTGGTCAGATAAATCGCGGATCTACGCACGGGATGGTCAGGCTTTGTCTCGGGTCGATACATGTATCGCCTCGACACATGTATCGCCTCGACACATGTATCGATCATGCGATCTAAGCTTCTTCTCATTGTACAGTAGACGTCCATTGTCGGATGGTTTATCTCTGTTGAGGCTTTCCAAGTTCCTTTCGTTTGTGATTCTTCTAGGAAATACGTCGACGTTTACGTGCCTCCTGATTTATTTCTTTTTCTTTTCTTAGTTGTGGACCACGTAAATACTATGAACAGAAGATTCTAAAATTTCTCAAGAATTTTTTTTTTTATAATTCGTTAAAAATTTTTCTAGTCTCTTTTGCACATATTTCCTGAAACTTCCTGTTTTTTTTTTTGAAATTTTTTATTATTTATTCTTCCCTCTTTGCAGCTTCGTTGTATGGTTTTTTTTTTGGTAACTTTTGTATTTTTTTTTTTTTTTTTTTT